AAACATCCTTACTCCTCTATTTTACTCTGCATATTGTGATTGTCCTGATTTGGGGGGAAATAACTAAATCTTAGAAAAGAAATGGGAGCTGGTCGAGCATGCAAAATTGTTTGGCAGATTTGGATTGATCGGATAATTTCGATTGTATTGTTGAGTTTCTTTAGAAATTTGAACTCAATCTAAACCAAAAACAATCTATAACAGAATGATTATAAAATATACATTAAATTTGAGGAAGTTTAAGCAAGGAAATAGCAAACTAAAGTAAGAAACTTGACTACCCATTGCTGGAAAACTGTTTCTAACCATTTTGAACAAACGCTTAGGTTTTGAGTTTAATTTTGAATTCAAAAAAAAAATGGAACTTGAACCCAAAACTGACCAAAACCCCTTCAAACCATCTTATAACAGTTTTATTTGTGAAAATTCATCCAAAATATAGGATATAATCAAGGAAGTTCCTTGGAACACTAAGCTGCCAATCTCTAGGAAATTTATCAACTTTGAAACTTTGATTTCTAAAATGATCCTTTTGATCCTTAGAACCTAATCCCAACCTTCATTATAAAATGTAAATTGCCATATAACCACTATATCTTACTTTCTTTTGCCTAAATATAACCACTATTTCAAGAGAGGTACACTCTATTATTCTTTAAACTCTTTATATGTGCTCCTATATGTTTTTATGCGTGATTACATGTTTTATGTGCTTTTTTTCTTTTTCTTTTATTTACTCATATTATTCATTTTAATCTTTCATTTATTTTATTTAATTTTGATATTTGTTTGGAAGGCATTTAAATGATAAATTGTAACCACTATTTCAAGAGAGGTACACTCTATTATTCTTTAAACTCTTTATATGTGCTCCTATATGTTTTTATGTGTGATTACATGTTTTATGTGTTTTTTTTCTTTTTCTTTTATTTACTCTTATTATTCATTTTAATCTTTCATTTATTTTATTTAATTTTGATATTTGTTTGGAAGGCATTTAAATGATAAATTGTAATAGATAGGTTGTATTCTCTTGCCCAAGAAATGTATTTAGATAAGTGATGTAATAGATAGATTTCATTTTTTTTTTATCAAAAATGTAATTAGTTAGATAGTTAGATAGGTTTACTAGTTTTTAAAATTTTCCTTTTAGATTGTAGTTAGAACTCCCAATGTAATAGTTAGGTCTTATTTTGCTTGTATGTTTGTGTGTTTATGTGCTTGCACGTCTACTTGCTTTTCTTAGGATTTTATATCTAAATATTATGCCTATGTATTACGTGCTCTATATGCCTTATGTGTTTATTTGCCTTAATTATGTTCTATATGCTTTATTTATTTATGATGGGTGCATGACGTCACCATACTAGTCCAACGCTAGTTGTGACTTTTCTCTCCAACTTCTCACTAGTCCAACACTAGTGAGAATTTGTAAAAATGGGTTAGTCTAACGCTAGACCCTTAGGCCTATTATGCACTAGATTCATACTTGGTATCATATTTACTGCATCTCACGCATTTTTCTATTTTTTAGGTTATTTTTATTTGTATGATACATCTCCCTATTCCCGTATCCTTGTATGCGCAAATCATACTTGCATTTCATTTAGATAGCTAAAAAATAAGCTAGTACATTTGCTGGTGTAGGTTAGAAGAGTCACCGTTTTGAGCTTAGCATGGCGAGTATGGCTCTTTAGCCTTAGCATGTTATTACCTCTCTATAAAAAGAAAAATTGCATCACGAATTTTAATCTTCCGTATCTGTTATATTACATTCTCCTCTTCTAGGTCATTTATATATTATAATTTTTTTTGAGTTTCATTTTTTGCATACTCGTGATCGTTTCGAGGAATCATTCTCACTACAAGAAATTTGGCTTTTTGTGACAACATTCTTAGTGACAACATAGAAACTTGTCACAATTGAGAAAATTCAGTGATGACGTTTGATGTTGTCATAGTTTATCGTGGGCACACTCGTCAACAGTGACAATACGGAATAAGTCGTCACAATATGGATGGCGCGCAACTATCCAGTGTGGCGGGAGATCACCATTGTGACGACCGGAAAATAGATTGTCACTGAAATAGCTCCTACAATGACAATTTAAAATGTCGTCACAAAATGGTTACCTGTTAAGAATTAGTGACAACAACTAGTCGTCATTGTCCAAAGTGTTTGCTCCTAATTCACTTTCACTAATTCTACTATGCCACCCTAATTTTTTTAATATGGTCCATATGTTGTAAATAAATTTTATTAATTCTACTATGATACCCTAATTTTTACATTTGAACCCCGTATGTGGTAACTAATCTCATGACACCCAATCTTTTGCAATTTAGAGTTGTCACTGAAATGCGCTATAGTGACAACTTATTATGTCGTCACAATAGGGTTGCTGGTTCAGAATTAGTGACAACAATTACTCGTCACTATCTAAAGTGCTTGTTCCTTACTTTCTTTAATTCTACTATGCCACCCTAATTTTTTCAGTACAGCCCATATGTTGTAAATAAATTTTTTAAATTCTACTATGACACCCTAACCTTTATATTTTAGCCCCATATGCCACCCTAATTTTTTTTAATATGGCCCTTATGTTCTAAATAAATTTTGTTAATTCTATTATGACACCCTAATTGTTACATTTTAGCCCCATATGCCACCCTAATATTTTCAATATGGATATGTTGTAATTAAATTTTATTAATTCTATTACGACACCCTGACTGTTACATTTTAGCCCCTTATGCCACCCCTAATTTTTTCAATATGGCCCATATGTTGTAAATAAATTTTATTAATTATGTTATGACACCCTAAATTTTACATTTTAGCCTCGTATGTGGTAAACAAATCTCATTAACTATACCATGACACCTTATCTTTTGCAATTTAGTCTCGTATGTGATAAATTGATTTCATTAGTTCTATTATGACACTCGATGCTTTACACTTTAGGCTGTGTTTATCATTGCCAAAATGAGGAAGGTAAGGTAATAAAAATGTATACCTATTTTTTAATTTTTCCAAACTTAGCTAATAACTTGTTATGAAGTTAAAAAATATCATGGATTCATTAAAAAAAAATTTCATTAATTCTATTATGACACCTTAACTTTTGCAATTTAGCCCCATATGTAGTACACCAATTTCTTTAATTCTACTATTACACACTAACTTTTGCAATTTAGCTCCATATGTAATTCGCCAATTTCATTAAATCAACTATTGCACTCTAACTTTTGCAATGTATCCCCATATGTAATACATGAATTTTATTAATTCTACTATGGCACCCTATGGTGTTGCAATTTAGCCCTTTTTTTATTAGCAAAATACATAAGGTATCTTAATAAACTTGTATACATATTTTATAATTTTTCCAAACTTAGGTAATAATTTGTTATAAATATAAAAAAATCATACGTTCCCTATTTATCTTGATGATAACATGGTGGAAAATTAATAATTATGATAATCTAAAAATAGAGGTAGTCAATGGTAGAATTTAACAATAAAACTGAATACGAAATTAAGTCTAATCCTAACATTTGCTTGATCAAAAGGTTGTTATTAATTATAGTAGCCACAATTATCATTTATGAACTAGTACTTATACCAAATAGATTTAGCACTTCATACATGTATTTGCAAACTATTTTGATTGTTCGATCAACTAATTTGGCTGTCAGGTTTGTTAGACTGTAAGTCATACATAATTGATAACACCATAAAATGAGTACCAAAAAGATTTTGATAAAAGAATGTTTATTTTTTTCAAATCATAAACATATTTCTAACAATATTTTTAGTTTTTAAACTATTTTATTGTATAATAAATTAGAAAAGTCCTATATTAGTTAAAAATGCTAAAAATATTTTGCCCAAATACACTAAATTGTCATATTCTATTATTTTAATACAACTTGAGAGTAAAAAAAAATAATAGAAAAATAATAGAAAAACTTAATTACATAAAGATGAGAAAAAGAAAAAAGAGAGAGGTAGGAGTAAGGACAAAGAAAGTGTGATTTTCTTGCATCTACATAGGAAGAAGGCATGTTATTTATACATACAGAACTAAGAGCGGCAAACTAAAAAATTCAAGAGGCATGGCGGACTAAAGGAATTTTGAGGAAACGACATCATTTGCTTCACTAATACACACTCTATGTCCAAAACACTTAGCCAAAATTTCAGACACTTTCTCCCTTTCTCTTTGTCCTCCTCACTTGCCCTAAAATGAACTCCTCTGTATCAAGCTCACACTACCAAATCCATCATGAACTGAAGTTTTCCATTGTCATCAATTTGGCAACTTATCGAGCTCGCACCACCAACATCCCTAATTCGACTGTTGCACTGGCTTGGTGGCAAGAAATCAGAAACTAGGGCTTGAAAATTTGGGTGATAGCTGGAGTTTAGAGCTTGAAGCTTGGGAAAAATGAGAAGTGAGGGATTGAAGGTATAGTTTGAGGTAATTTCAATATTTTGTGTCCGATTTTACAATGCATGGTATGTATTTTGTGGCTATGGCTAGTTGCACCTTCTCTGTTTCGTTAGATTTAGATTTTAGGTTCAATCTTGTAAGTCTCTGATTTAAGCATCAACAAGTTTTGAATCCCTTCTATTATATTCTTATAGATTTGTTAGATTTTCATGAATTGATTCTTTGTTAGTGATTTTTGGCTAGAATGCTGTGAACCTTGATTTGGGTTCTAGCAAAATTGGGTCAAATTCGTCAGGTCTCTTTGGAAGTGCTATTTCTTATAGCTAAGAATAATGAATGAGCTGGTCCATTTTGGCTTTTCATAAAATCTGAAATCTGAGTTTTTTTAAGAGGTGAACACTTCAGTCTTGATTTGATTTTTTGGCAAAATTAAGAAAGATTGTTGCTTCACAAGAGACTGAAGCAAGGGACTGCAGATTTCATGAAAATTTAGGTGTTTTTTGCTGAAATTTTCAGGTGGAGTGAACGATTGATCAAGTTCAAGATGTGGGTTCTAGTATATTTGATGTCGCTAGGAAAGTGATTGGTGTTGCGGTTGAAGTTGTGAAGCCTGGGATTGATGCTGCATTGCCTATTTTAAAGCAGGTAGGAGAGCAAGCTCTGAAGCTTGCTTCCCCTGCAATTTCAAAGGCATCTAAGAAAGCTCAAGAGGCAATTCAGAGCTTTGGCATTGACACAAAGCCTGTGATAACTGCAGCTAAGGTTTAGTTATCTTTCCACTTGAAATTCTGCAATTAGTATCACTATTTGGGCTTATTGAGGCGCATATTATTACTTCACATAGATTGATTATTACTTTAACTGAATTCATATAGTGACAGAAAGAGGCAAAATGGGGGAAAGAGGAAAGTCAACTGTATTTTGAACCATTTTTGTTGGCTGACTTGGACTAAAGTATTCTCTTTTGATCTTCAGTTTAAGGAAATGAATGGATCAAGACGGTGGGATGGAGGGAATATTCAATATCTTGCAATGGACCATGACATTTCTTTACGCTAAGTTTTCTGTATTTAGAATTGGATGACACAGAAGGAGATAATGTACATGGCTAGAAATTGCTAGTGGTTGAGATAAGGATTTGTTTTAGTTAGTGTTCTTTCTAGCTCTAGGTTCCATGTCAAACAAAGATAGTAAATGAGTGTCAATTACAATACACCAGGAGAACATTCAAAGTACTTTGTCCATTTATTTCAGTATACAAGTAGACAACGTGAATGTCCATTAATTTCCTTCTTAGACTCTGAAACATATCTTAAGTTGCCTTTCTATTGCGATTTTAGTTAACATTTTGTTTTTTTTTCCTTTCAATTAATACATTTGATCTTACAATTGGTTTTAGAATTACTTACTTGGGTTCTCTAGCATTTTTGTACTCTCGTTTGCTGCAACATAGTTCAAGTAATTGTTTTGGATAAATTAATAACCATTCCCTGGTTCTTAGATAATGATCTCCAGTAAAGTTCCATTGTTTTGAGCTTTTGTTTTTATAGCATGGACTCAGAAAAGTGGATGACTTTCTTTGTACTGCAGACAGTTTCTGATGTAGCACAAAAAACTACCAAAGTGATTGAAGATGCCAAGCCTATAGCCTCATCTGCTGTGGAAACCATCTTATCAGCTGACCCTATTACAATTGTAGGTGCTGGTGGTGCCCTATTCTTTGCGTATCTCCTGTTTCCTCCTGTCCTTTCTGCCATCTCTTTCAGTCTTCAAGGGTGCAAGGGTAAATTGGTTGACTTTCTTCTCATTACATTCATCTCCGTTTCCTGCACAGGATTTTGATCTTTGGGAAAATGATGACATATCTGATACAGGCATCATTGTCCACTTCATTACTGTCATGAGATTACAACTAGAATTATCAGGAGTACTATGAAAACTGTTGCATATCTGTATCTAGAGGAAGAGCTAGCATCAATGCCTAATACATTTAGCTTTTTTTGAGAAAATCTAATACATGCTTCAAAACTGAAACTATGATTAATTGGTTGTCAAGTCTACTCGAACAATCTACTTACTTCCTGGATGTAAACTGTGCACCACAAAGCATTCTTGGTACAATGGCCAAAAGCTAAAGAATCAATGGAAACTCAAACCAAATCAGATAACACTCTTCCAACAACTCGTGTTTGAATCACTTGTCAGTCTCTTTTAAAAGATGCAACTAGAACAACACTAACAGATTCATGGTTGCTACCACTTAACATTTCCATTCCTTGTTCCTTCAAAATAAAATTCATGGATGATTGTCTAAGTTAGCAAAAATATGCGTTTAACATATAATCTGGAAAAAACATAGAGAATTCCAGATTGTCCTCTTTTATATGAACACCTGATTACTTGAAGCTTGTCCATGTATCTGTTGAGGTCTAGCATTGAGATCAATCAATTTATTCTCCACTTTTATCTCCAACATGATTGTCATTTTCTAGTATTGGAACTGAATATGTACTGTGATGAGCAATTATAGGACAGTGTAAATTGTTTTAAGATAGTGTAAATTATAAGACAACAATTATATGAATAGGTTTCTAATTAAGAATCGCATAAATTATTATTTCTCTTATTTATGTTTTAACTTTTGCTCATTTTACGTATGCTTTTGATAACCAATTATACTGAAATTTTGTAATTTATTCTTTTACCGTATGGCTACTTATGCACATTAGGAAAGAATATACTGCTTGTAGAAAAAAATTCTTGCTAATTTTACAAATTTATAGAAATCAGGCTCATGGAATCTCAATTTATTTTTTTTTGGCAGCACTTGCATGATCAACTACAACTGAAGATTAAAACTTCACATGTAAGCTCCTTGTTTATTAGTAGGAATTGCACTTATATCTTTACCGATTCACCTCTTTTTTTTTTATTGTTTCATATCTTACTTATCTCTTTAAAGAAGGTACTAATTATGATCTCATACCTAGACAGCTTCGTGGCCGCAGCACAACCAAGAGGCAAGCAATTGAGCTTGACTGCTTGAGGAGTGAAATTGAAGAGCATCGAAGAAGGGTAGATGCGGCAAAGGAACGAGCTACACAAATTGCAGAAGAATTCAATGCCTAAAAGGAGCTAATTAAGAACTTGCAAGAGCAGCAACTTGAAACTAGGGGGTTGTACGAGGAGTTTATTGCCCAAATGAAAGACTTGCACAAATGACAGACTATTGAAAAGGTGAGGAGATAAATTCTTTGCATTTATTTTGGCTGAAACTCTATTTTGACTGATTCTTTTACTTCTTATCAAGTTCCCAGTAGTTGGAGTCTTGTTTCGTATGACTATTGATTCAAATTCAGTAGTATAAGGTTGTAATAGCATATTTTCTTACTAAAGTCTACTCTAATGCATTTAATAGTTTATTTTCAATGCAGTCTAGCTTGATATCGATCATGTGGAGGCTGTTGGATATGATGATAGAGATGGTTGAAGTCTGACATTGGTGCTATGGTCTATGCTTTAGTTTAGGAATCTAGTACTCTTTTTTTTTGGAAGGATATGTATTGTTCATTACTGCTTGAACTTATTATGTGGGTTTTGGGACCCAACATTTGTGGTTCACTTTTGTTTTGATGAATTTACAGACGTTTATGGCCATAAATATGAATTTGTGGCTTTATTCTACATTGATTTTGTCTTTGGTCAAATTGAATGTTCTGCTATAATTTGGTGGAAATGCTATGGCAATGCTATATTCGTAATGGTCAATTTTAGCTCTTCAAGACAAAGCTCAGTGACAACCTTTAAAGGTTGTCATTAACATGCAATTTCACTAAGTGATGACCATTTCTGTCACTGAATAATAGGACTGATTGTGACAAGCTCCAGTCGTCACTGTAGACTTCAAATTTGTGACGACTTTTGCAACATCTATGACAAAAATATAGGTGAAATAGTGACAAGAAAAGTCGTCACAGAATGAAATCCGGTGGTGACAACTTTGTCTTTGTCATTAAATAACAAGATTCTGTGACGACTTTCAAACGGTTATCACATAGACCCATTTGTGACATAGAATCTGTGACAACCATGTGACAATGGAAAAAGTCGTCACTGTATCCGTATAATGACGACTTTTTGGCTTTTAGTGATGACTTTTTGTTGTCATAAAAGGCCGATTTTCTTGTAGTGCCGTTATATTACATTCCCCTCTTCTAGGTCATGTATATATTATAATTTTTTTTGAGTTTCATTTTTTGCATATTCGTGATTTTTTCGAGGAATCATTCTTGAGTTTCACAATTAATGTGATTCGCATCAATTAAATTTTGAAGAGACATTTCGTCCCTCTCTATACCCCCTAGGTTTAGTTTTGCATCCGTATAGAAAACATCCAAGTGTGATAAATTAAGGATTAAATTAAGAAAATTTTTTGCTAAATTTCGCAACTAACCTTAATTAGGTTGAAAGGTGCCTTAAGTTTGAATCTATCAAACATTTGCCTTCCTTTTCTTCAATCGTGACTTTCGAAATCATTTTCTCTTGTTTTCAAACATTCAGAGTCGTCTAAAAGGGGTTTATTTGTTTTTCATTTAAAATATATTTTGGGTAATTTGATACATCTAAATTCAATACCAAGTAGCGACTCTCTTTCTAAAAAATTCTTTTTAGACTATTATTTTTTACCCAAACCTTCGCATATTTTAAGTTCCATTTTAGACCCTTTTTTTATTTATTAAAATAAAATCAAATGCTCATTTGTAACACTTTCTCTTTTATTTCAAAAATGGGGTGCGAAAAACTGGAGAGAGAAAAGGTAACAAGATGGCTTTTGAAGTTATTCCTTAATTATTACTGTTCTTGTAATTTTTTGGTGTGTTAACTTAATAACTTCATTTATTTTTTTCCTGTTCTATTGTGGGGAAAAATTTATGGAGTTTGAGGAAGAAAAAAAATAAAAAGATGGCTTTTGAAAGAAAGACTAATGAGGAATTGAAGGGAGAGAGAGGAGGTAAGAATGTGAGGACCCGTAACTTTTCCTTATTTATTTTATTTTCCCGCGTGCATTTTTCTTACTTTATTTTATTATCGTAATTTTCCAGAGATTTTTATAAGTGAGTATCGTTTTTAAACCATTTTCCTAGTATAAGTGAGTACCTGTTAAGTTTGAGGAGCGTTATGGACGTGGGACCCGCTAGTGCGGTAAGTGCGATATATTTTTGACGACTGGGTGAATTTTCATAACAGTATATCATGTTACAAGATACTAGGAGATAATTAGAGGCTAGCTAGATATATTAGCTTTGGAGGATAAGAAGATGAGGATAAAACTAAGAAAGGCCAAGTGTCATGAAATTAGTGGATGTTAGACTTTGACCCAAGGTTTCTTAACTTTACTAAATCAAAAATTTGACCAAAATTCATCTCATTTTTCTTCATGCTTGGCCGGCCAAAAGAGAGAAAAACTAAGAGAGAAAACTTCCTTTCCAACTTCCAAAAATTGCTTGAATCTTGAGTTTTAGCCAACAAATTTGCAAACCACTCCAAATAAGTTGCTCTTTAGGGAAGATTAAAGCTTGTTGTGGAGTTATTTTAGGAGGAAGAAGCGTAATCTACCATTTTTCCTTGTGGTTATAAGGTAACTTGTCTTGAACATCCTTCTTTACTTCTAATAGTTGCATATTAGTGGCTTAAGGTTGTAGTTTTAGTAGTTTTATGAGACATATTGTGGTTTGAGGTGATGATATGGAAATTTTCAGTTTTTATGATGTAATTTCTGCTCACATGTAATGATTGAGGGTTGGCCATGTTTTGCTAGTTTGCTATATGAAAGATTGAATGATTATGGAGTAGATTAACTTGCCTAAAGAAATTTCCAGCTTATGTGTTTAAATTCCAGCTTTAGGGTTTCTAATTTGAGCTACCATTTGGTTGTATTTGAAGGGTATTGTGATCCTAATTAAGTGTGTTAAATGGTTTATGATTTGTATGTACAATTGGGGCTGAATTGATATGAGTTTGGGTGTTGAGTTTTGAATGGAAAAGTAGGAAAAAAACAAGGGAGGTGCTGCTGAAATTTCTGCAGGAACTCTTGAGCAGTTTTGGGAAATCTGTTATATCTTGATGTAGAAATGTTAGAATTGAGTTCTGTTTATTGCGTTTGAAACTAGATTCATAGAACTACAAACCATGAAAATTTCAGACCCTGGTTCTGTCTGTGTGATTTATGGTGATTTTCCAAAGTTGACTGAAATTACATACCTGTTCTGTCTTTTACTGGATAAAATAGCAATTTGAGGCTCGAATTTGACTGACTTGTGATCTGAATCTTATAAATGTGTCTTCTGAGAAATTGTACCCCTTTGAGTCTATTTTCCGACAGTATAAATTTTATCAATTTTGGACTTAAGAAACTTGAGATATGATTTATCAAATAGTGTTGCGCAAAACTGGAAAATTCTGTTTTCCTAGAACTGGTCTTACTTTCATTTTCCACTTCAAATTTGGAAATGGTGAACCATTGTAGGTAGGGTTTTGGGGAGAGGTGAAGGGCTTTGAGGTCGTTCATGTCCCTAGGACCAACTATTACCTTTTCACTCAAAAGTCACATTTTAGCTCTTTGCATTTGTAGTTCATTTGAATAGGCATATGACTCGTAGTCGAGTCTCACTTGTACATTTCGTTTACTAGGTTTTGGATGTGGAAACCTCAATTGTTTTATCTTGGTTATTTTTAGGGTTTCACGGTGATCAAAACCCTACTTTAGGTGAAAACTTGTGAAGTTATCTTTGCTTGAACTGGTGAGTGTACCACTTCCCTGAATTGTTGCTTAATTGGGTCATCTGTACTTGAAATCTGTGACATGAATGACTATGAACTCTGTTTAGTCTAAATGAGACGAGAGTGTATTTTATCACACTCGTTCTCTGGCCTGTGTGACTGTTTACTGTATAAACTGGAATCTGTTACTTGTACCTGTTATGAGCTTGAATCAGTTACCTGTGCCTGTTATAATGTCGTTTGGAAGTATATCCAACGACCTTCCTGTTAAACCTGAGCTCAACTTCATGGGGAGTTAATTGAATCGAGCCAGCAAAGGCTTGGTCGAGGAAATTGACAATCCATGGGTGCTTGTTCCTGGGGAATCTATGGATATTGGAGACTCTGGATTTCCGGTATATTCGAGTATTATCATTTCTGTTCCTGTTGAGGTGTTCGGGCCCGGTAAGGGATATGTTTGGTGGACGGAATTTGGCGTTAAGTGGTGCTCTACTGAACTAGTTACTTTACTTTAAAATTAACGGAGTGTCAACTACTACTTGATCAAGATCTGGTACTGCAACGGGAATCTGGCTCCTGAGAGCCACCTGTATCCTTCCTATTTGAATCACTGTTTTAACTGCTTTACTTTATATCTGGTATGTGTATCTGACTGATTAAACATGAAATGCCATGATTCTTGACTACTTGGATTTTTGGTACCTCATTGAGCATAAGCTCACCCCCTTCCCGTTATCTTTGTTTTCCTTACAGGGGTAAACTGTGAAATCATGATTTTTGGATGAAAGAGTCGAGCTAGTGTAAATGTTTCTTTGTTAAGCTCCTTTGTAATAGAAAAACCCTAATTGTATTTCGATCTAGTATCACATTTTTACTTGTAAAGTTCCAACGTGTGTTTCAAAGTGTTTATTCATGTCTCTCTCGGGTATTTGTTGGTAAATGTACATTCGATGGGTTTACATGAACTTTACTTGTATCCGTTGGGGATTCGAATGAGTGCGGGATTTGATCGAGAAAAGAAAAATTTTGGCGGGAAAATGTTCATCGAATCCGGTCGTATATCCGGCCAGTTTTTGGCCGGATACTTGGCCGAATTGGCAGGGGAAGTTAAAGAAAAAAAATTTGGTTTCGCTGCTGCCTTGATTCTGGCTGGATATCCGGCCAACTTCTGGTCGGATTGTGTCGTGGCAGTCCTTTTCCGTTTTCTTTTCTTCCGTTTTCGTTTCGTTTCGTGCTTGTGGGAGTGTACTTTCGACATATCATGGCACCGTGCGTTTTGGAAATCTTGTATTCGACTTAGTAGTCCTGACGAGAGTTGGGCAGGCAATCCGCTAACCCCTTTGGTTCGGCCTAGGGGAAGGTGGGGCTGTCACAAAGAAGGTGGCTTTTGAAGTTGTTCCCCAATTATTATTATTCTTGTTACTTTTTGGTATGAAAACTTCACAATTTCATTTCTTTTTCTTGTCCTCCTGAAGGGAAAAAGATTATGGAGGAGTTTGTGGGAGGAAAAGCATTTAAGTTTACTGATATGAACCCCTAGAGAGGTAAGAAGTGTTAAATTTTGTAAGAATTTCGTTAACAAAAACTGGTAGAGTTTACCGATCCCTTACAGTTGGAATCATCGAGATACCTTTCACTCACTAGGATATATGTTATTTTGGCTTTCTTGTATTGTTTCTTTACATAATTTGCTAACCAATAAGTTTCTTGTATGTTGTGAACCTGAGATTGAAGATATTATGCAAATTCTATGACATTTGTAAAAGCGAAAATGCCCCAAACTATGTTATCCTATGTTTGTCTTGAGCATCAAAATTTTGAT